ATCTGAGGGCCAACAAAGATTCCTGCTTTTAGCTTACCTTCACGTATACGAAGAAACTTTGACTTCAGGTACTTGTAAGCAGTTCCATTCTTGTTCAAGGCCTTCACAAAATTTTTCATAAGCCCTAATTTGATGTGGAGTGGTGGCAACAGAATTTTCATGGGGTCGACTAGTGGCTCAGTTTTCACGCTGTGATTTCCGGGTAAGAAGCTGGTTCTTGGTGACCAGTCTTTTTGTTCATAGTGCTGGCTGTCTGCCCTACTATCCCAGAGACACACAAAACAAGGATACTTGGTGTATCCGCCTTGAAGACCAAGTAGGAGAGCAATAACTTTTAAATCACCACAAATGAGAAAATTGTGATTCTCATACTAGATTGCAGATATTAGTCTTCATATTTGCGTAAGTTTCTGACATTTGGACACTATGGCCAGTTGTCACAGATGCAGCTGTGTTGCCATTGTAGAGAAGTACAGCCTTTAAACTTCTTTTAGTAGAATGAATGAAGAGTCTCCATTCATCTGCTTTGTATGACATTCCCATGTGTTCAATAACGCCAGAAATATTTGAACAGAAAACTAAAGATTTCTCATTGTCAAAGGACTAAGTGAATTCCGCTTCACGATGATGGTACCAAGCGAATTTGTTCCAGGAGCTAGAAGCCTGTGTTCCTTTAGTCTAGAGCCAAGTATCTGTGCACTTTCTTTTGGAAAGTTAAGGTCTTTCACCAAGTCAATGAGCTCAACTAGGTTGAAGGGTTTGGGATTGTCATTTGTTAGTGGTTCATAGTCTTCTTCCATCTTCTTAAAATCACTGGTATCAGACTCTGATCAAATTTGTCATGTATCAGGTGGCACAGGTACAGGAATATCTTCAGAGTGTGGAGCAGGCCTTATTGCTGAAGGAATATTTGGGCATATTATGTGATCTTCAGTCTTCTTGTTGAATCCAGCAACTTGAGTCATACAAAAATAGCAGTCATCATGGTGGTTCATCTGTTCCCGCCATACCATTGGTACTCCAAAGGGCATACATTTTTGTTGTGCAAATGGTTTGTCCTGGTATCCAAGAGTGTACCAAAATAAGCCATGTAGCATCGCTACAATAAAGAAACAATGCCGCTCCGGGAATCTGTAGGGGAGAATTGCCCGCAGACATAGCAAAAGATGTCTGGTGAATTTATGCAGCCTCTAGACATATTAATAATCTAAAAATAAAGAAAAATACATTAGATTTAACATTTAAGCCGATATTAGGTAAGCATTTTAATTGGTAATATACCACATTCTCATTTACTTACGTTATACGAAAAGAGAAAGTAACGTTTCCGTATAACTTGACCAGCTGATGTGATAGAGATGAATAAAAGACACAATGAATCACTATTTTCCATACATATACCGAAAAAAGATACCATAGAGTCAATAAAAAAAACATACAGACCAGTGAAATTTTCTCTACGACTTCGCATACATGTCAGTGACACCAGTCGGTAGTTTAAAGCTGCGTGCCTGTGTGTGTGTGTGTGTGTGTGTGTGTGTGTGTGTGTGTGTGTGTGTGTGTGTGCGTGCGTGTGTGCGTGTGTGTGTGTGTGCGTGTGTGTGTACTCACCTAGTTGTACTCACCTAGTTGAGGTTGCGGGGGTCGAGTCCGAGCTCCTGGCCCCGCCTCTTCACTGATCGCTACTAGGTCACTCTCCCTGAACCGTGAGCTTTATCATACCTCTGCTTGAAGCTATGTATGGATCCTGCCTCCACTACATCGCTTCCCAAACTATTCCACTTACTGACTACTCTGTGGATGAAGAAATACTTCCTAACATCCCTGTGATTCATCTGTGTCTTCAACTTCCAACTGTGTCCCCTTGTTACTGTGTCCAATCTCTGGAACATCCTGTCTTTGTCCACCTTGTCAATTCCTCTCAGTATTTTGTATGTCGTTATCGTGTCCCCCCTATCTCTCCTGTCCTCCAGCGTCGTCAGGTTGATTTCCCTTAACCTCTCCTCGTAGGACTTACCTCTTAGCTCTGGGACTAGTCTTGTTGCAAACCTTTGCACTTTCTCTAGTTTCTTTACGTGCTTGGCTAGGTGTGGGTTCCAAACTGGTGCCGCATACTCCAATATGGGCCTAACGCACACGGTGTACAGGGTCCTGAACGATTCCTTATTAAGATGTCGGAATACTGTTCTGAGGTTTGCTAGGCGCCCATATGCTGCAGCAGTTATTTGGTTGATGTGCGCTTCAGGAGATGTGCCTGGTGTTATACTCACCCCAAGATCTTTTTCCTTGAGTGAGGTTTGTAGTCTCTGGCCCCCTAGATTGTCCTCCGTCTGCGGTCTTCTTTGCCCTTCCCCAATCTTCATGACTTTCCACTTGGTGGGATTGAACTCCAGGAGCCAATTGCTGGACCAGGTCTGCAGCCTGTCCAGATCCCTTTGTAGTTCTGCCTGGTCTTCGATCGAGTGAATTCTTCTCATCAACTTCACGTCATCTGCAAACAGGGACACCTCAGAGTCTATTCCCTCCGTCATGTCGTTCACAAATACCAGAAACAGCACTGGTCCTAGGACTGACCCCTGTGGGACCCCGCTGGTCACAGGTGCCCACTCTGACACCTCGCCACGTACCATGACTCGCTGCTGTCTTCCTGACAAGTATTCCCTGATCCATTGTAGTGCCTTCCATGTTATCCCTGCTTGGTCCTCCAGTTTTTGCACCAATCTCTTGTGTGGAACTGTGTCAAACGCCTTCTTGCAGTCCAAGAATATGCAATCCACCCACCCCTCTCTCTCTTGTCTTACTGCTGTCACCATGTCATAGAACTCCAGTAGGTTTG